AATAATTTTTTTTATATAAATATATCATAACTGTCTCTATTAAATTTCATAATATTCTTTGGTTTTATATTTTGCAATTTAAAAAATAAAAACTCATGATTATTGGTTAAAAATCTACGTAGATAGTAGAGAAGAAAAGGAATTTACTATTTTGAAAATTGGTATGTAGCTTTTCCTAGAAAAACGAAGAAAACTATTTTGCTCTTTTTTGTTTTATCCCCATTGCAACTTAAATTGTATAATTTGTTTTATAATGACTTATTTTTTATTATTATTTTACTTATGATTATTACTTTATTTATTATTATGTAATAAAATTTTAGTTTTAATTTTAATTTTTAATTATGCTGTGCAAATATATTTTAAAAATTTACCCTTAAAAACTGAATTACTTTTAAAATCTTTATTATATAATATAAATATAATTAAAATCTTAGTTATGCATCAGTTCTAATCTAACTAGGTTGTACTTCTAATTCAAATTAAATATTTTTTGTAATTTTTTTTGACAAACAGTACAGTGAATTTGATTTAATTATTTAGCAAATATAGAGTTTTAATTTAGGCAAATTAAATAGGTAAAATCTAAAAAAATTAAATAAAAATTAAATGAAGTTTAAATAATTCCCAATCACAGGCAACCGATCTAGTTCCTCAACAATCAAAACCTGTCATCTCTACTTGTTACGTTTGACTGCACGCCTTCCTTGGCCTTTCTTCGGTGCTCCCTTTCCACGACGCTTCAACATTTCAAGCTTTGATAAGCGTCTGCCAAAATACAGCAAAGAAGCTTGTTAGCCAAAATGTCATCCTCCCACTTCTGTCGGAAATAATTTTGAATAGCTAAATAAACCAAAGTCGAGCTTAAACTCTATGTTTCTTTAAACGAGCCAAGCGCGAATCTAAAATGAAGTTTGAATAAACTTCTGATTGAACTTGAGCTTGACAGTATAAGAGAAAATCAAAGTGAGATAGATACTCAAGAGTATTTGGCTTGGCTTGGCTTGGCTCCTTGTCACCCCAAGTTTTGCATAGTTGCAAATAGTAGTAAACTCTATTGAGGACTATGCAATGGATAGATAGTTAACTATCAAGAGATCAAGACATGGAGACATTACTCTTCTTCTTGACGGCCCATTACAATGGGATCATCTTTCTTGATGTCATACGGGTACCAATCTGCAACTTTGGCACCAATAAGCTTCTTGCGTAAAATCTTGTGAGGAGACCTCTGTCCTGTGGGGTTAAGCATATGTCCAAAGATTCTTGCCCTTGCCTCAGTCACACCTTTGGTGACTGCTGCAGCCAACAAGGCCTTCAGGCTGCCAGTGCTCATCCTTTTTAAAACCAATTACAAAATAAAGTAAAAAAATGAGTTTTAGAAGACGTGAGCAATAAAATAGATCTAGTGAAGCAGCAAAATTGAAATAATCAATCCATTATGTAGACCAAGATGTGAACAGATGAATCCCTCACATATATCATGAGTGTAGCTGAAAACAAGATAGTATGCTGTTGCAACATCTCATCTAGAGTACAGAACTATAAGCATTAAATATGGGGAAATCAAGCTTTACCCACCTTTAATCGAGCTGGTCAACTATTAGAAACTTTGCAACATCTCATCCAGAGTACAGAACTATAAGCATAAAATATGGGGAAATCAAGCTTTACCCACCATTAGTCGAGCTGGTCAACTATTAGAAACCTATTTTACACTCATCAACAAATAGAAAAGAGAGGTTAGATCAGCTATAGCTAGGTTTATTGTAGTTTGAATTTCTAATTTGGAAGTTTATGAAAACTTCCTTTTCTTTCCACAAGGGGTTGGATAGGGCATCATTTTTTCTCTTTATATCCAAATAGATATCAAGAAACATTGCTACGCTAAATCTGCATTTTCATAGGGACAACTAATTGG